TAACCCCAATAACCCCAATAACCCCAATAACCCCAATAACCACCAACAAGCGGCACCAAATCATAACTCATAACTCTCCTACTTAGCATTCCGCTTAAAACTACTGTAATCCGTAACACTATGAATAATCTTTTTTCCATTCGATATCTCTTGTATTGGTGTTTGTGTGTGTGTGTACTAATCCGCCCGCACATTGCGCGTTAGAGCGTGCGCTAGTGCGTGCGTACGTGCTATCGGGCGCTTGCGCATTAGAGTGTGAGCTGATTTGTGCGTGCGTGCTTTCCCCTGCTTACGCGGTAGAATGTAACTGATGCGTAACTGCGTGCGTTTGGGCGGATGGGTTTATTTAAGTGAGGGTACTGACAACTTCAATGTATTAAGGAATAAGTTCATCATTTTGATGGTAAAGTGGCTCAATTTTATTATGGAGCCAAAAACAATTTTCCCAATAAAAATTATTGTCATTGAAAATGAAATTTTCATATAAAATGCTGTTTTATATAAATCGATTCCATAGCGTATTCTGTCATTCAATGACATAGACTCATTAACTCGATAAATATTATGTTATTAATATTTTTATCATATATTGCTTTTATGTTGTTTATTATTCGGATTGGTGCGTGTGCGTGGGTATACATGCGCCCGCGCTTCCGTGATAGGATATGAGTTAGTGCGTTCGTGCGTGATTTCCGGCGCTTGCGCGAAAGAGCGTGTTTAGGTGCGTACGTGCATGGTTTCCGGCGCTTGCACGGTAAAGTGTGAGATGATGCGTACTTGCGTACGTTGGGGCGGATGAGTTTATTTAAGTGAGCCTATCGAGAGCCTCAATGTATTATGGGATACGTTCATCGTTTTTATGGTAAAGTGGCTGAATTTTATTATGGAGCTCCAAAATAATTTTCCCAAATTGAAATTATGGCCAAGGAAAACGAAATTTTCATAAAAAAAGTTGGATTATATAAATCGATTCCATAGCGTATTCACGCATATATATACATAAAACCATTAACTCGTTAAATATTATGTTTTTAATTTTTTTTTCATACATTGTTTTTCGATGTTCTATAATCGCGTTAGAGGGTGAGTTATTGCGTACGTGCGTGGTTTCCGGCGCCTGCGCGTTAGTGAGTAACCGGGTGGGTACGTACGTGCTTTCCGGTGCTTGGGCGATAGAGTGTGAGTTGTTGCGTACATGCGTGGTTTCCGGCGCTTGCGCGATAGAATTTTAGTAGGTGCGTACGTGCGTGGTTTCCGGCGCTTGCGCGATAGAGTGTGAGTTGATGCGTGCGTTGGGGCGGATGAGTTTATTTATGTGAGCCTACTGAGAGCCTCAATGTATTAAAGGATAAGTTCATCATTTTTATGGCGAAGTGGCTCAATTGCATTATGAAGTCCAAAAACAGTTTTTCCCAGTAGAAATTATTGTCAATGAAACTGCAATTTTCATATAAATAGTTTTTTTTATATAAATCAATTCCATGGCGTATTCACTGATATATATACAGAGACTCATTAACTCTATAAATAATATGTTTTTAATATTTTTTTCATACATTGTTTTTCGATTCTATATCATTTGGATTGGTGCTTTTGCGTGCGTATGTATATGCCCGCGCTTGCGCGTTAGAGTGTGTGTTGTTACGTACGTACGTGATTTCCGGCTATTGCGCGTGAGAGTATGAGCTGATGCGTACTTGCGTGCGTTGGGACGGATGAGTTTATTTAAGTGAGCCGATTGAGAGCCTCAATGTATTAGGGAATAAGTTCATCGCTTTTATGGTAACGTTGCTCAAATTCATCATAAATCCAAAAAACAGATGCCCCACTACAAATTATGGTAAATAAAAATCAAATTTACATATAAAATGTTGTTTTATATAAATCTATTTCATAGCGTATTGACTCATATTAATACATTAACTCTATAAATGAGTGCGTGCGCGCTTTCCGGCGCTTATGCGATAGAATGTGAGACGATTCGTGCGTGAGTAAATTCCTGTGCTTGCGCGTTTGTGAGTGTCCGCGAGGGAGCGTGCGTGGTTTCCGGTGCTTACGCATTAGTGACAGACGGGGTGAGTGCTTCTGTGCTTTCCGTCGCATGCACGCTAGAGTGTAAGCTGATTCGGGCGTTCGTGATTTCCGGCTCTTGCGCTTTAGAGTGACAGCCGTATCGTGCGTGGGTGGCTTCCTGCGCTTTCGCTTTAGAGTGCGAGCTGATTCGTGCGTGCGTGATTTCCGGTGCTTGCCCGTTAGAGTGCGATATGATTCGTGCGTGCGTGCTTTCCCGTCATTGCGCGTTTCATATGATATCGATGAAAGACCAGCGATCGCGATACCTATGTCAGAACCTATACCAAACGAATATTATATTTGAATGAATGGAAAGGTTAATTATTAATCATTAGCAGAATTGAATTCGTAGTGTTTAAAATGTAAATCATAATAAAATAATCGCAATACTACTCATCTTCCGTTCTAATAAAGTCTTTCGAGATAGTGCGTAAATAATGCAGATTCCACATATTTTTGAATGCGTCTAACTGAAACTATTTAAATTACTTATAATTAACGTTATAAATGATTTGTAATAAAGTACGTATGATTGGTCATAAATATATTAAGAGAATGCATGGTAATTGAATGCCATGAGTAAATATCTTAAAAAACTGTATTAAAACATATTTATAAATATAGCTTAGAAAGACTTCAGCGGATAACGTGATTAGATGATCTAATAGGACTTCTCTAATTTATCTATCATACTTAGCCTTTTTTTCTGACTTTATAATATAATAGTATTGGTAATAAGTAGTTATAATAATAGTATATTTTATATATTATATATTATATAATATATAATAATAATAATAATGGTAATAAGTAATAAGTAATAGTATTAGTAATAAGTATTAATGGATGGAGTTTCGTAACTATTCAATAATAATGTCTTGATAATACGATAAAGTAGACGATGAAATTTTTTTATTTTTTTTTATTTTCAGTCTGTAAAATTGTAACAATATATTTAAAAATGATCGTATTCAAATAATTTTTTCTTTATAATTTTTTATTACATTTTTACTTTTTTTAGCAACATTAATTACTAATTATTTCTTTGCATATTTACAAGTACAAACAATCGATACAATCAAAAAGTAAAAAACTATATCTTTACAATTTTTACGAATATTTAAGTAAAATTTTAATGAATTAAATAAGTATAGCAATAAATAAATTTTTAAATATTACCTATTTATTTATTTATTATTATTACTAGTAATAATACAATCGTATGTTTAAAAAAAATTTAATAAAAAGTATTGTTAAAATTAATTGAACTATTTGAAAACCAATACTAATTTTTGGTTTTCCTTTTTTTAATTACAGTATTATGGATCATCGGTATAAATAACATAAGAACAATCCTTAAAATATATTGCATTGGAAATAGCCGACCAGTATATCTTGTAAAGATTTAAAAAGAACATATTGTTTTTAATAAAAATCAATCTTAGTTTATTTCAGCTGGAATCTATTTCTACACTACCTAATTAATTCGAAATACACGGCAAAATTCGCATGAATAGAGTAAAAGCACCGTCGATAACATTTTACCTACTCCTATCTTCTCACCATCTCCTTCTCTCTCTCTCTCTCTCTCTCTCTCTCTCTCTTTCTCTTTTCATTCTTTGTCTTGTCAACGAAATTTTTTATTTTATACAACGGCACCTTATGAAATTAGGAAATGAGTGTTCTTAAATTATGTGCTAATTTTTTTAAATTTATTAAAACAGGTGTATCGATCTCTTAAGTAAAGAAAAAGATCGCCGCAATAATATAAACGTTTTTATTACTTTAATAGATTTAAAATAATTACATATTAGTTAATGCTCATTGAATGATTCTAAAATATTTATAAATGTTCTTAAGTTTATATAATCGCTCGTAGCAAATGAAACTTATTTTATAATACAAATTTTTTATGATTGTTTAAATGATAATTTCAAATTATTTTAATTATAAAAATTGGAAATTCAACTATACTCTTTTCTTCGTTTTTAATAGAATAACAAATAATAAATTGAAGCTCTTTTCTTACAAAATGAATTCCTTTTTTTTATTTATTTATAGCTGATTTCATGTAAAATAAAAAAAAAGTTTTATTTTCCGTTACTGTACTTTGAGGGTTACATAAAAGTCTATTGGTTAAATCATTTGATATGAATAAAATTAGGATAATTCGATAAATATAATTTTGTTACATAAATCTCATCGCACTTATAATATGCTGATTATAAACAAAAATTGATAAATTGTATTAATTTGTGATGCATGAAAATATGTTTAACATTAATAAACATCATTCATGAATAATTATTTTGACATCGAAACGTGGAAAATACAGCGAATTAATTATTTATAAAGATGTGATAAAAAATATGTTTTAAAATTAATCTTTAAACATTTAGATAATTGAAGAGAACTTAATATAAGACAAAATGTTTCTCATAAAATAGTGGTTTTATTTTTAATTAATCTATTTTAAGTTTTATTCGATTCTTTCGTCTTAATCTTCCATATCGCGAAATAAAAAAAAAGAAAGTTATTATTTGTATCTGTATAAATAATCTATTTCGTTGATTTATTGATGATACTATAGGATAAATAGACAACAACATGTAATTATATTTTGTTAGTTTAGCTATTAAAGGTATAATATTTTAGAGTACAAATGTAGGTGAAATTATATTGATAAAAATGAATTTTTTTTTATCGAAGTTCTAAAAAATTATTTAAAAAAATATATAATCCCGTTCAGTTTTATTTACTTTGCATTTTATCAATTATGTATACAAATATATTTTTAAAATCAATTTTAAAACCATAAAAATATGTTTAATAGATATAACTTAAGATATAACCTCGATTAACTTTAATATTTATACGGCATTATTTTCAAGTGCATAATTATTAGTAAATTATTTATTTAATAATGAACAGAGCAAATTGCTTTGGAATGAGAAAATGTATTGCACTGAATGTTATATTACTCAGCACCAATTTGAAGTACGTCAAAACAGACAGCGCAGACTCGTACTGGTTTGTTCAGTCCAAATTTAAGTATTGGAACATCTTGTCCGGAACATTTACTGCACAAAACTCTTCCACAATGTCGGCTAGTTGTGAAAGATTTTATCAATCATTTTTAAATAGTGTTTAAAACTTTTTTATTATTATTAAATTTCAGAAATGAAAAAACCTTACCAATGATGTTTTCGTATCGTTAGTGAAAATTTGGTACCGCATTCTAAACAAAGATCTTTGTCCGCCCAAGGAGCTTCTTGCGTTAATGATTCTAATAATCTATAAAGTAATTGTTTTGTTGCAACTTGATAATTGAAAATTGTTATCCCATCTTTGTTCATTGATCCTAAACAGGCACCAGATTTGACAAAAGTTCGACACAAGTTGCCGTTACCTTTCATATAAGCAATTAGAAGAGGAGTATTGCCATCGAGATCTAAATTTAAGATTATATTAATATAAAATTTATATTTATATTATAAATATAATTAATTTATATGCTATTAAAGATTAAAATTGAGAAATAATTAAATTTTATTGTTCTCAATGTTAGTATTCTCTGTTGTTATTTCATGTCATTTTAATATGAAAAAAAATATTTTTAATATCGGTATTATTTGAGTTCACTTTAATTTAAATAATTGATACTTTAAAATTGATACCCTTTATCTATAAATACACGGGTGTATTCCAAAAATCAATGTATCCTGATTTACCTGCTATATTGAGCGGATATTGCGACATGCAATCGAAAAAGAGCTCACAAATAGTGGCGGCGTTATCACGGCCGTACCTCGCGAGCTCATGCAATGGATTGCGTCCCTTTAGGTTCACTGCTTCGGCATCTAATGTGCATTCGGTCAACAATGTTCGGACTACTGTCACGTGTCCCTCTCTAACTGCTACATGTAGTGCGTTATCGCCATCCGCGTTCACCGCATCGAAATTTATAGAGTTCTATATCGATAAGATTGCTTATTAATAATAGATGCAACTGATACCGTTTAATCTTAAAGGGAAAGATTTGATTGAATCTTACTTGCGGATTGCAACATGAATTTTTTTTATTTTTATGTTTTTTATTATTATTTTATTTTTAATTTTCAAAACGATTCCTTAAGTATCTTTTTTTTTTTAAACATAATGTAACGAAGTTTTACATAGTTGTATTGGATTTAGTCGTAAAGAAAGAGAATGAGGTATATTTGAAAGTATTTACCAATCGTATACATTTATTAACAAGATGTTATTAATTGCCCATTATGCGAATATTCTTATGAAATCAAACCATACAGCTACATACAGCTACACGGTCTTTATTTGAAAAATTACAATTAATATGTAACTAGTAAAAAATAAACTCGCTTTACTATACCGAAAATTTTAAACATAACTTTGAAAACTTCTATTCCCGTGCTTAAAAATACACGGATTTTATGCTCGTTAAATTATTCATTCTTTTGATTTACCGTTAGGAATTAAACATGAATATTTTATGCTATAAATTAACAAACCTGGAGGAGAGCAGATACAACGAAGGCATGCCCTGCCTTCGCTGCCGAGTGTAGTGCTGTATTCCTATGGGCGTCGGTGTCATTGACTCGAGCTTCGGCTAGTATTAAGCTACGCACTAGTAATTCATTACCAGACATCGCAGCCAAATGTAATGGTGGCGTTTGTGTCACGTCTTGCACCCTCGAATTCACGTCAACCTATAACGATCGTGTGACGTTTAAAATATTTTATAAAAATCAACATTGCTTGACTGATTTTTTTATTTTATCGCGATAAACTCATTACTAAAATTTTTACAGTGACAAATATATCTTCAAATCCTGATAATAAATAGTCCTTTTGATGTATTTCCTAAATATTTCAAATTTATTCATAAACAAAGTTAAGCATTTAAAAAGTAATTACGACGTTTTTATTTAATGTACATTGCTTGGTAAGAATCGAATGGTTTGTCGAAGTTCACCTGTATCGACAGCAAAAACAATATACTCTCCATATCGTTCTTCTGTATGGCAGTGTGCAAAAAGTTCCGACCCTTATTATCAAACTGTTCTGCGGCTGAGGGTAACCGATCCAAAATGGCTTGAGCGGCCTTGTTGTTTCTCATAACCAGAGCTGTTGCGAAAGGACTCTGGCCTTTTTTGTCCCTTAGTGATAAATTGATATTCGGATGGCAAAGTAACAACGATATTATTTGCGCATGTTGATTTTGTATGGCGATATGTACAGGTGTCTTGCCTTCTGCATCTCTCACGTTAATATTAGCTCCGTGTTCAATCAACGTTTGCACTACCTATGCGAAATGACAAAATTGAGAGTTATTCTCGATGAGTAACAAAAGTGTTTTTTACATTTTTCTTAGTGAATAGATGACTTTGTAATTTATACGTATTTTCTTTCACGAATGGTTTATCAATTCTTATCGTAGATTGGTTATAATTTCTATAAGCCAAAAACATCACATAAAGAAAGGATAATAAATACAATGGATAGAAATATATAAGATGCATGGTAATATATTTAATATAGTTAAAATAATATTGGAAACTGAAAGAATGTTTATCATACGTTGTACAAAAATTTTATTACTGATATTAATACATTCGTAACAAATCTTTTCTCATAGTAAAGAATTTTTTTTTTATTTTTTTTCATAAACTATTAGAAAAACTGTTCAAATTTATGGTGAATTAATTATTTTAATTGAAAATTCAAATAATGAAAAGAAGGATTGTTTTTTGAAAATCCCTCCCAGAGTCGATAATTTACACGATTATTAGACAAATAACGTACACATAAACGTTCTCAAAACTATAAAATAAGAAAGCAACGTTCCATGCTTACCTGTTCGAGGCCCCACTGACAACACAGGTGCAAAGGCGTGCACTCGTCTCTGGCTTCATCGCCACCAGTACCATTTGGTCCAAACCTTCTTGGTGAATTGAGATCGCATCCACTACGCACAAGAAACTTCGCTATGTCCTCCCGATTCTCGTCTATGGCCTTATGCAGAAGAGTCTGCTGGCAGCCGTCGGGCCCCACCGTCCAGCAGTCAGGGTCCGCACCATGGGCTACAAGACTCGACGCCACGTCTTCTTGTTCGGACTCAAGGGCATCCCAAAGTGGGTAGCCTACCGTTGTATCAACACCCCGACGGCACAAAGCCTCTACGACATCCCCGAGATGACAGTGTACACTTAGCTGTAGCGCCGAATCACCCGACAGTGTCCTGTTTTGATATTTGAAACATTAAGCAAAACTTTATGATAATTAAAGGATAGTACCACCGTCTTTATTACTCTTTAATATTATTCTTTAAACAATTTCCCGGGCCTTTTTTCCTAATGCCTTATTTGAAAATTAATACACACTACTTATTTAAGTGTAAATTTAATCTTATTTAATGCAAGAATAAGATTAATTTTATATTTTATATCAATAGTATTGTAAGCAACTGACGAAAACGTATTTTACGAAAATGTGTAATATGAAAAATTAAGAGCTTCAATATCAGACTCTTACAGTAATTTATTGCAAAAATAAAATTTAATTTATTTCTAAATTTATAATATTTTGAAGAATAAGATGAAATAAAATACTTTATAATTAAAACAAATTAAGTTGTCTCTATATTATCTTTTTATTATTATTATTATTATTATTATTATTATTATTATTATTATTATTATTATTATTATATATGGATAAGAAACTATTTATTATTATTCAACAAATACAATTTTATGAAGTCAATTTTTAGAAATTTAAGTTGAGAATTAATTTTTCTATAAGTAGAAACAATATGATTTATAAATAAGGTGTTTATGAAATTATTCGTAAAAAAATATTGTATATAAATTAATAATAATGTAAACGCAGTTAGATACCTAGCATTCATATCTGCTCCATGTTCAAGAAGAAAGATCGCGCTCGCTGAATCTTCCTTGAGAATTGCTTGATGAAGCGCCGTGTGCCCTGCTTCGTTTCTCTGTTCAAGATCAGCACCGGCTTTGACGAGGGCCGCCGGTATTTCACGTTCGCTTCGAGCCACAGCAAGTGCAAGGTTCAGGGGACTTTCAGCGGCTCGGTTTTTCGCGGTAAGGAACTCGCGACGTTCTTCCGCAGTGGGAACTGCTTCGAGAAGAGCATGCACTACCTCTAATCGACTATGACTGACGGCCATATGTAGAGCTGTATTGCCGTCGAGACTACGTCCACCTAAGAGGCAAGGAGAACGCACAAGTAGTCGCTGAGCAAGGCGAGCAAGGCCGGCACGCGCTGCTTCGTGCAACACTGTGCAACCGTCTCGATTCCGTGCCTCTAAGCTTTCCGATTCCGTACGCCACTTTTTCCCTGATTTCGGTTCTGAAAATCGAGTATACAATTCGGTAAGACAACAAAATGATTGATGACATGGTTAGATACCTTGGAGCTTGATAATTTCATAGCTGGGCTCAAGCAGGAATAGGGCAGCATTTTCGCGACCCTCGCGCGCTAACCGGTGCAGTAGCGTGTCAGCTTCGTCGCCAGGATAACGGGGATTCGGACTGGCGCCATGAGCTAGCAAACTCGCTGCTCCGGACTCGAAACTCGGTTCACAAAGCAGGGCCATACATAAAGCTGTGTCACCATTTTTTGTGCGTAGGTCAAGCACCACACCATCGGTCTTCAATAACAGATTTAGCAGCGTCTCATTACGCTCCGACACGCAGTAGTGTAGCGGAGTCCTAAAGAATTTAATTTCGCTAATATGTAAGTATGAGCTTGCTTGTTTTAAAGTGGCTCTGAAAATATCAGAATCCTTTGATCAGGATAAGCAATAATATCAGGCAAGCACGCGATAAATGCTTCAATGGTTTCCAGTATCTTGCATTTTGCTTAGTTTTTTCTTTTCTTTCTTTAAATTATACGAGCCTATATTTCGAAAAATCATTATTGTGCTCTCTATATTTTAATATTTACGATGTATTTACGTTAAAATTCTTTTCGAACTAATACTGTAATTTACTTTATTTATTTTAATATGAGAGCAATTCACGAAAGTGCTTTTAATGAAATATTTGGATTAATCTTAATAAGAAATTTTAAGAAATTTTAAATAAAACATTTATATGGTAGGGAACGATAAATTTCGTATGTACATTCATTACTGATTTTTGCCGTAAATATATTTTAAATTTTATATATACTTATTATATTGCTATGCATCTTTTATGAAAATAGTCATTTTTAATTAAATCAAATGCAATTAACTATCAAAAACACCTCTAAGTTACAATCAACAAGATTCCATTTTTAAATAATAAAGTAATATTATTGATTGAACGAATCCAATTTTTTTTGTTATTTAAAAAAAATGTAATCAATGAAATTGAATAATTTTTTTTATTCGTTTATTTCTTTATTATAAATTTGGGCATTTATCAAACATTTACAACTAATGTAAACTAATAAAAATAGACATCATGTTTAAATAAATTAAACTGAATATTAAAATACACACTAAATACTAAGCTTTACGAATTCATAAATTTTAAAGGTAAATAAATAATATATTGTAAAAAAAAATTTTCTAAAATTAGTATTCCAACCTATATAATGAAATAAAAAATACAAACAAACATTACTTTAAGAATAATTAAATTAGTGACGTTAAGTGGTAGGTGTCGTTAAATGAACAGGAATTTTAAGATTACACATTATAAGAATTATTTGAGTTAAAATAAGCATTTCATTATATATAATATTTATATTTAGATAAAAAAAAAAAAAAAATTAATTCACCCACTAAGGTAAATTAATTATTTAACTTGCAGTAACATAACTTATGCCTTTATTGTATAAACATAAAACCAATTAATTTTTAGAGCTACATAACAAGAGAAAATAATACAGACATAAACAATATTAAGCATAAATAATTTTTTTTTCTTAAATTATTCAAAAAATAATTAAACGCCTAAGATTCTCATAATGAATCATTACAAATTACTTAAGAAACAAGGATACCTACCAACCATCGTGGCTCTGAGCATTGGTATCGACACCAGCTTTCAACAGCCTCTCTGCGATCGTAAGCATATCCTGGCTGGTGTGTGCTGTGAGTAAATGCAAAGCCGTTTTACCATCAATGGAGCTCGGTTCGTCAAGGTCCTTCTTCCTCGCTAAGCCGTTGCTTTCTAGTTGCTCGACAATGAACTCCGCAGCATAAGAGTCTGCTTTAAGGATGGCCGAGTGCAGAAGGCTCAATCCACGCGCGTCCTTGGCACTTAGATTGGCATGGTGCTCAACAAGGGTGTGAGCTAGTGACGGTTGACGTGACTTCAATGCAACCTCTAGCGCCGTCTCGCCCCGCTGGTCCAGCATGTTCACTACTTCCGGCAACTTTGCCAATGATCAATAACTAGATTTAACTAATTTCCCTGACGTATCGGATCTTTATCGTAATTTTGTATATCTTGATTGAATTGAGAATAATTTCGTTTTAAATCAATTCATTAAAATCAGATTAAATTTGTATGTATGCTCAATTTAGCTTTAATAATTAATGCTCGAAATAATGTGTACGAATGAACTATGAATTCAGAATAAAATATAATTCTAATTGTGTTTAAATATCCTTTAAAAAAATTTGTATAAAAACTAATTTTCAATTAATTAGTTTAAAAATAAAATATCGAATGGAGAGATGCTAAAACATTTTCATATTTATTTAAAATTAAACCTGTTATTAAATTATAATTTATATATTTGAATCGATATTATATTATTTCTTATGCATTAACCTAGGATATATGAAAGATATATATTGATATAAGTGCATTTAAACAATAACGATGACAAAAAATAACAATAAGATTATTATTAAATGTAAATTAGCATAATACATTATTTTCTAATTGATTTACGCATATAGTCAAGTAATAAAATACGTTTATGATAAATTACAATATATTTTTATTGCATTTCACTTTATCAATTCAATAATATCTATACTAACAGATTATTGACATATAATGTGTTTTACGAGTATAACTTTGATTCTGTTTTATGCATGTAATATTCAACATTTTTTTTTATGGATGTTTGTATATTGAAACACTCTCTAATAATATTTCAAATAAGATAAAATGCACTGAAGGTTGTTTAAAACAAAGTATTTTATCAGCACCGGGAAAAAATATTACTCTAACTAAGGTTGTATTCCTTCTTTTTTTATTGAATTTTTTCTCATTTAAACTTATAATTTAATAATAATAATAATAAATAATAATAATTTTGATTTATTTATAGTTTTATACTTAAAAAAGTTAGCAATAAATATTGATTAATCCTTCCCTAAAATATTGGAGTGAGATTTGTATGAAAAACATAAATAAGACAATTTCATTGAAACAACATAAATATCTTTAAAATATATATAATTTGATCAATAATATGATTTGCTAAAAATATAGGAAATAAACAAATAACTATAGAGTCGCGGTTAAAATAATTTTTGTATTAATTTATTAAGGTAAAGTAGTGATGTTAGAATAAAAATATATTTGGGTTAGATGTAAGTTTAAAGAGTACTGTGTTTTTAAAAGTATAGTTTAGAACTGCAAGGAAGCAATAAGTTTCGTATTTCGCAAGTGTCGAAAATTTGTAGTAAGTAAAGCGCTCTAATTTCCAGTTTGATGTACGATGGTAATAGGTATATCATGAACGCTGCGCAGCCTTGCGACTCTTCTTGGCTTGCGTTGTGTTAAATATGATGGAAGGGGTGGGGAGAGAGAGAGAGAGAGAGAGAGAAATGACGTGGAGGTGCCGAGGACAACAGCATCGGATGAGACACGGAATCAGTTTAGATGTACTTGTGGCGCAACCATTCGCGGTTTTAGTACGATGTCGTGCAGCGTATAACACTCGCGAGTACAACGAATCCATGAAAGAAATTTGCTGAGCCCTTCGATTGAAGTCTCATCCATTTGCCATAGCACACGTGCCTATGACATCCGTCTGCCCGTGTATGTGCAGCACAAGACGGAAGTGACGAATGTGGCGGCGATCCTTAGATTTAAAATTTCGCCCGCCATAGTTCAATTGATTTGCACGGAAATAGTACGAGAGTGAGATGGACGTGTGATTCATGGGTCTTGATTGTTTTTTACATATTATCACCGAAGTCATTGTTTTGAAGAAGCTCAATAAGCCATCGGATACGGCACTTGGCAGAGCTTGGCATCGTAAAAATAATAGTGGCGGTCATATTTATTCAAACCCATCTCTTATTTAAATTCCATTCGCGCTTTCTATACATTTAAGTAAGCGCGAAATGAAGTATTATTATGCGAACGTTCAAACGTCAGTGTGGATCGTAACTGTATTAACATGTGAGTCATTTATTTTTCCATATATATTTATACGTATTTTATATACTGTACAATAAAACCGATAGTTTTTTTTTTACCGTTGTTTATGAGTTCATCGAAACACTAGTTTTCAAATTGTGAAGTAAACAATTATTTATACTTTAAGATACGTGCTTTTACCTCTCATTTCATGCTATTTAAGTATAATATAATTTTTATCTTGTATATACATATGTGCACGTGCGCGCGCGCAAACTTAATGCAAATTTATGACTTGTAGGCTTACAGGGATTTTTTCCGATGACAAAAGCAATGATATGCTATAGGTGCACAGTTTTACCACCGCAGTACGTCGGAGAAGCGGATCAACCCTGTTCGAAATTCGACGGCAGTTCAAGATTTTATCACGACTGTCCAATGTCAACATTTTGTATGAAACGAATAATTCATTACCAATTACCGAATGGAAGTAAGTCAATTATATTTTCATTTGCTATTTAATTGCATTCGAATTGTTGTATCTTCATACTTTCAAGCGAAAACGTTAAATTATTCTTAATTTTAATTGTTCCTAGGCAACAGGGGTTTTTAATTCATTAGAAGAGACTTGAATAATAATTAACTTCTGTGAAATCGAAGAAAACTGATTTCAGTGATAGACAAGAAGTTTGCGATTTAAAGCATTTCTAGAAATATATGTAATTTTGATTAAAGTAAAAAATAGTAAGAATTAAATTTATATACAATAGATTTAAACTGTCAATTTTTAAATAATGTTTCTTAATTAAAGCTAAATGAAACTTTTAACTTAATATTAATCAATGATTATTATTTTTATTTGTGATTATATTATTATATTAAAAAAAATAACAATTTATTTTTAAAACCATTGGAACATTGATTTAATTTCTATGCTTAATATTTTTATTACCCTTTAATCTTTCTACAGCAATAATTACCACTGCTGAGCGAAATTGTGCATCTCAAAAATACATATCTCAAGATTACAATAATAACGAAAGGACGTGGCATAGCAAAGAGTCAGTTGACACTCAAGCTTATACAGCAGGTTGTTTTAAAGGAGAAAATAGAGGCACACCAAATGGACCATCAGAATATTGTTATTGTTCGTCCAATTATTGTAACAGATCTTCATCAATTACTAATGTATTGAAAACTTGTAATATTATAGTTATTGCAGTTCTTTGGTTTTTAGATTTTGCATAATTAATAAACTTTTATTGTAATAATTTGCTTTTGTCTTCCTCTTAAGAGATGAACAAGATATTTAATATAATTGTGAAATGGAATAGGAAGAAATAAATACTTGTGATATTAATAATATCAAATACTTTTAAGATTATATGAAACTATATAAATTGTGTTACTTAATAATTTCTGTTAAATATACGGAGTAATTTTATAAATACAATAAAGAAAAATATTACCTTGGCATTATGTTCAATCAAATATAAAAAAACAACATCTTCACGCTGTAATCGAACAGCAGAATGCAATGGATATTCACTTTTAGTTTTCAATAATTGATATAATAATGGTCCAGGCATTTCTTTAAAATCTTCACCACTTAAATCGTCCTAATATTAAATATATTTACTATACCTCCTTCTCTATGCTTTCATAGTTACATAGTTTAATAAATAATAACATACCCAATGACACGAAATCAATGAACTACAATGATCGCGTAGTTTTGTTGTCCCCAGCTCTTCAGCAACTGTATATAATCGTACACAATCTTGTAATTTGATATTTGCTATTAAATACTTTTCACATCTATCTACTAATTCAATTAGTCCAAATCCAGAAGCGGCTTTCATCAGTTCCAGCGTTAGTTGATCCTGATTAACTACATCTGTATAAATCCACTTTAACAATATTGAACCTAAATTGCCCTCTATATTTTTCCAATCTACAAAAATTTAAATGCCTTCTAATATACAATATTTCATTGTTTATCTAGTTTAATTATTTATAAATTATATATATGCTTTGAATCTTTATAAAATCTATTTTACATTTATATTATATATTATATCGCTTAATATTTAATACCTAAAACAGCTTTTTCTGGTAACGACTCCCAAGAATCACTTCGAGCTGCAAGAACAAATTTATGAACAGGAATACTTTTATCTCGCAATACAACCGTTACGTCACTGAAAATATATTAAAAATATAATCTGAAATATTTAAATTATGAAATATGAATTCTGAGCTACAATTCTACTTTAATATATTATACCTGTAACGATTCTCTTCGTATAACATAGATATTTGAGATAAAAGTCTTCCCATAAAGCCATGATTTTCTTTTGATGCAGTTGCTAATGCATATTTTTGTTGTAATTCTGTATAATTATTATAAAGATTTACATATTGTTCTCTAAGTAGAGCTAAATGTTGTTGCCATTTTTGTGAATCTGAAAAGTCTTCTGTAATACAAAAATTACATATTTATATTAATAAAATAAAATTTGAATAAAGTGTATAAGCCCTTACCCATGATAAAAAGGCTGATATTTATTAGTATCGTCAATCGGCAGCTGGCGTTGATACGATTAAATACACATTAAAATATGTGGTGATATCATGTCATAGGCCATTCAATAGGATATAATATAAAGTATTCACAATTTGTGTTTGCTTTACAAATACAAATATCATTAATTAATACGAAAAAACATTTAAAATAATATTAATTATAATTATTTTCATTCAATTTTAATACACAATTTTGTTAATGCCCATTAACGTTAATTCATAGGAATTCCATTTCTGACAGTAATATACGCCCCTATAAATATGAGATTCACAAACTGATGATTGAGACGGTGAGATAAACTGATAGTTAGATACGTGCATCTAGGAAGATATAGGTATTTTAATAATTGTAACGTAACCTATTTTACATTTAAGTGAGAAATGTCCCTAGTTACAAAAGCTATTTGTTAAATTATTTTTATTATACTAATAATAAAATTAATATAATAGAAGTAATTAATAAAAATAATGTGAATATTTCATTTTTTTTTTTTTTTTTTCTAAATTAAAATCATTCTCAAAATATATTTATATATTGTAAAATATTTTATATTATAATATGATAATTGTGGAATTAGAAAGACATTATCTTTTTAACCTTAAAGAATAAAGGCATAATTTACTTATATTAATGATCTACATATATTTTTGTTAGCGGATTTAAAAGCTTGGCCCGATTTAAGGAGTCCGTAAGTAATATTTTTATGAAAAAATCTTTTATGGATATTTATAAACTCGTATCATAAATGTTATAAATATGTATATATATGCTCGCAGATAAATGATCTTATATTTTATATATTTATTTAGGATAAAATGGAACCTCAAGATATTTATTATAACAAAAGTGAATATGTTGAAACGGTAAACATAAACATTATTAATATTTATAGAAACAAACTTCAGCTAAGCATAACTTAAATTTAATGACAAAATTTGTTCCTAGGCATCTGGAAATAAAGTTAGCAGACACACTGTCCTATGTGGTTCACAGAATATTGTTTTACATGGCAAAGTGATTGTTCAATCGCATGCCATTATTCGAGGTGATCTTGCTAATGTTAAAACCGGACGATATTGCATCATTGGTAAAAATGTTGTTATTCGGCCACCTTTTAAAAGATTTAGTAGAGGGTAATTTTTGAAATATTATAAAATCTCATATTAAAATATAAAATATAATTTTTAATCAATTTTAATACTATAGGACCGCGTTTTTCCCACTTCAAATGGGCGATCATGTTTTTGTTGGGGAGCGTGCAATTGTTAACGCTGCAGTAATCGGATCTTATGTTTATATAGGAAAAAATGCTGTCTTAGTGAGCACTCTATATTACAGTAATGACACATATACATGCGTTTGTACATTAATGAAACTAAATAATAATTTTAAATTTTAGGGTAGGCGATGTGTATTAAAAAGCTGTTGTTATATTGAAGACGATGCAGTGGTTCCTCCAGAAACTGTTGTTCCTTCGTTTACCAGATTTGCTGGTAACCCAGCTAAGTGTGTTGAAGATCTACCAGAATGTACTTTAGATTTAATGCTAGATTTTACAAAAAATTATTATCAACATTTTCTACCAGCTAAAACATCATAATAATTAAATTAAAATAGAAGGTTCTTAATATATTAATTATAATTATATGATACACAGCAATCCACAGTAGTTATTTTTATTTTATAGTTTTGCTTTATATGTTTATTTATTAAATTATCATTTGATTATAAATATTTGATAAACAAATTCTACATTCATTATTTGGAAAATATAAACTATTTAACATATAAGACTTTATTTAAATACTTAAGTAATATGATATTAAATTTAGTTTACCTGTTTTTATATTTTTCTAATAAAATAGTGATTATATGAAATTATTCATCAAAGTTATTTTAATAAAATAATTGTAATTTATCAAATAATTTACCTTATAATAATATCTAATAAAATCTATTATAAATAATATTTATATTTGATTACATTTTTAAATTAATATTTTTAATATGTATAATACATATATATTTAAAAAATTTTTTGTGTCCGTTATATTACAATTCTAAGTAAAAGTTTTTAATAAATTATTTATTATAATTTATTTATTTTTTAATAATTTATTTATTGATTATAATAAATTAATTTATCATTTTAGATATATTTTTTACTATACAAATTATATTATGAATAGTTATTGTATTCTTGTCAAATTTATGAGCTTATTTTAAGATTACAATTTTCAGATTGAGTAAATAATTTTTTATACTTAAAAACTTATATTAATATTGAGTCTTGCAAATTGTAATTACATTCATCTTAAAAAATAAATTTATATATAAAAATAATTATATATAACATTGTAATAATAATAAATTTCATTTAATAAAAATATAATTATATTTAATGATATGCAGAAAATATCTGTAATTTTTAATTATTTTTATTAAAATTATAATAAACTTATAAAATTTTAATTATTGTATTAATGTTAATAATTGTTCAAATTAAACTTAATATCTACGAAAAACATTTTAGAATTTTTATTTAAATTTTGTATTAAAAAGTGAGCTTTTATAAGTATTATGTAATAATACTATTTCATTCTTTTTAGACTTGAAAAATCGAACGGAAGTATATGAACTCGAATACTAATAAGCAACAGATAAACTATTCTCTTACATTACTAAACAGGATTAATTAAAAAAATTAGATTACTAATAAAAATTTCAAAAATATTGATTTAAAAATGAAATATAAAGTAGAACAAGGTTATTATTTGATATAATTAAACATTGACTTGTTTTAAATTATATTATATAAATTTTTCAAATGTTTGTATGTACTATCACCAACTATGTTAACTGTTACAAGCTGTACACAAAGTTATACCGTGTTTCATTACATAATCATTAAACAAATAAAAATTCATTAAACTAAAAAAACTCAGAAAATATATTCTCAGTACTGTAATATTGTTTTAAATATTTAACCCTAATAATAATAATAATGATTTACTTTTATAAGAATTTGTATTTATCACATTATTTAGATTATTTTTTAAATTGTGCAAAATTAACTAAAACTTTTTTATTTATTAAAATATTAATATATAAATATTTTAATCTTTTCACAGGTGAAATAGATATATCAATATAATTTTCTTACATTTATTTTTCAACTTTTAAATTTTTGTGTAAATACATTTTAATTTTTATATTGTATTTTTATCGTGTTCATTATTATTCATAAAGTTAGCATGGATTCTATATGTATAATTAGATAAATATTATAATATTTCAAAAAAGGAAAGATATAAATAAGAATGAATATTTTTACTATTAAAATTACTTTTAATAAGTTTATTCAATATAATATAAAGAGAAAAAATTATTTTAGTTTCTGAAAAATGAAAAAAAAATGAAAATCTCAATAAAGTTTTGAACATAGGACTCAAACTTTTCAAAAATATGGTTACAATATTTTTTCACTTATAAAGTTATAAAATAATCGAATTTATTTAAAATCTTCATTAGAAGAAAAAATTGTGAATATTGAATTTGATGAAAGTGTTTTGTTTTTTCAACTCATAATTTAAAACAGTAAAATTAAGTTTAATTATTGGAAATTATATTTAAATTAATTTAATTCTTTGTAATTTAAGAAATAATCTAATATAAAATACAAGCTGTGCATTAAAAAAAATTAATCGAATTAAATTTATAGCAAAACAATCGATTGATGGCATTATTAAGTTTGATTATTAATTTGCTTGATGACTTTAGCATCTGTAATAATATGTAATATATAAAATAATAATAATCGATCTTATGAAATATCTTGTGTCTGTGCATTTGTTGACACCGTTCTGGTCTAACAATAAAAAAAGTAATTCACCATTATCAGTATTAGATTTCCGCTTAGTCTACAGAAAAAAAATAAATGAGATAAATTAATATATATGCTTTTAGAATTTACCTGATGTATGACAAATATTCTATTGTCTTCACGAAGTAATGTTTGATCATTGTGAGAGCATTAGAGGATTGCATTAAGTATCACTAATTATCAATGAATTTGATCACTATTATTTTACACAAATTTAAGCTTTTTAAATATTGTGAAACACAAACATACCGAAAAGTTAATAAGCAGGGGTATTGATTTGAAAAGAGACAAATCGTCTAAAAGAAAAATATTGAATCATTTAAAATAATAATTAGTTTATTGTTATATTGTATATCGTATAAAATTGTTTTTTCAATTTGTAACAGTCTATAAATCTAGATCTAAAATTGAGTCTTATGCAGTATCAAATAAATATTTTAAAATAATTTTATTTGTTAATTCTTTCTAAACATTGGAATGTATGTAAACAATATATGAAATATATAAAGTCTCAAACATTTTTTCAACCTGTTACAACTTAATCAATATGGATTCGGTCAATTTTTTTTACGATAATGATTTATGATAAAATTGGATCAAACATATACATATATATATATATATATATATATATATATATATATATATATACAATAAATGTTTTAATCCATTGAAATACTATTTATAAAAGTTTTTCTTTTAAATCACTTTTTTTACAATAAGTGAATAACATTAATATTAAAGTAAATAATGCAAACTATAAAATTGCAAAAATTCCATTTTATTTTATAATATAATATATTATCAGATATGATATATGAAAGAAAAAATATTAAATATTGTTAAATTACTTTCAATAACTATATTTTTAATATATTTTTATTATATTGTTTTTTTTTTATTTAATTATAACTATATATTTTCATTATATAAATAATTGTATATATACTAATCATATTTTTAAAATATGAAAGTTTTTTTTTAATTTAATAAATAACTTCTTATTTGCGAAACTATATTTATTAATTAAAATGAAATTAAAATTTTTAAAGATATGAAAAAATATATTCTTAGAATTAGAGCAAAAATATACTGATCATATTACAACCTTCAATTCTTACTGCGCAATACAGAACAAAAAAGTAATCAACAAAATTAGCACAGTTTTGCGTAGTATTGTAAAATATTTAAACTACAAAAAAAGGTGAAAGATTTTCAACTACAAAAAGTTTTATTTTACTTTAATTAATCACTGTATTAAAGCTAAAAAATTCTTTTTTAATTATATAAAAATATAATTTTAATTATTTACTGAATAACCACTTAAATTATCTTTTTCTCTTTTGATTACTTTCGACATTTAATTCGAATTTCATACAAATATTGAAGGTTTTTAATAATACTTATTTTAATCATTATGTATTTTTCCTTATAATTTTCTAAAACTGTTATTATTTTCTACGCAAATAACATTTTCAAGACTGTACATAGTTATAATCATGCTAAAATTTAATGTATAGATATTTTATTATTTATGACTAATAACTAACAAAAATGTGCTTTAATGAAGAACGTAACGTTTAAATAAATTTTTAAAAAATAAATAAAAAGTGTATGTAACATATTTAATTTTACTTTAAAAATAAATTCTTCTTTTACATTTTTTTTTTGCCAGGGAAAAAGTTAATTATTTCTTCTACTTGCGATTTTTTATTATTCTACATAGTATTATAGTATTATACATAGTATACATAGTAATATAGAATTATAAATAGTGTAAATAGTATTATACTATTATGCATGGTATTGTAGTATTATACATTGTATATATAATATTAAAGCATTATACGTAATATACGTAGTATTTGAGTATTATACACAGTATAATAGTTAGTAATAGTAGCTAATAATAGTATAGTATTATACATGTATAATAATAGAAACTAATAAATAGTTAATACTAAAAAATAATTAATACAAACTGTATTATTGGTCTCATTCCTACCTTATCTTTACGAATTAAATACATAATGAAATACACAATTTTTTTGCTATACAAATAATATTAATAGATTAAAGTAAACAAAAATAGGCACGGAAATGTATAATTAAAAATATTTACTAGTTATTTCTTGTTTTAAATTCAACACTTATTTATTTTTCCTTAATTTATTTTTATTTTTTTTTCTAAATTCTACATATTTTTGTATTTTAATTATAGAATTGATGAATAGCGATAATCTTAAGGTGGAAATTTTTTAAGCAAATGACATTGAAAAATATGAAATTTTAAAATCCATAATTTGCAGAAAATATGTCTTTGAAACGAATGACAATATTCTTGCTAAGGAATTATTGAAAAATAAAAGACCACAAACAATTAAACTTCCACAGATAAATAATTCAAATAGGAACGTCTTTTTAAACGTAAATAGAAGATAAAATCATTCATAAGTATTAAATACTGTTAAATTATTAAATATATGCTCGTAAATAGAAAAATGGTATAGTTGTATATATATAATTCTGTCGATAACATAATCTGCCAGTTAAAATCCATTGATAATTATTTTTTATGACAACCTAAAATTTTTACAGTAAACTTATCAATTCAGTTTACTTGATATAGATTTTTTTTTTTTACAATAGTTTTTCCCTATATACCGAAATTGGAAATATTATTTATAATTTAGTTTCTTATCAATGAAATTTTATTTATTTGATTCATAGTAGCTATAATAATATAAATATAATAATGATATAAAGTGAATATTAACTTAACTGAAAGTAAATATGTTGATTAACTGATCTAAACTGATCTATTACCTGATAAAACTAAAATTTTATTTGCAATTTTATATATCGAGATTAAAACATTATATGATACAATAAAGCTAACTATACTTAATAATCTAAAAGCTTTATTAAATAACAAATCTGAATTTTTTAATTTCACAAATTTTTGTAAACTTCATATTTGAATATTTTGAATTTATTTTTGTTTATTTTTTTTGTAATTTGACTGAATTTTTTTTATAATTTAATATTTTTATTACAATATAATTTGTATTAAAATACAATGGCTTCTATAATCAGTTACTAAAAATATATTAAAATAAAATGATTTGTAAAAAATATAATGAATAATCAGGTCACTCAGGTCACCTTTATAAAATTTAGAAAAATAAATTAAGTTAAACATACTACATAAAATAATCCCAATACATTAATAAAAATCTATTATAAAAAATATTTTTAAAATTTTTTATTTAAAACTTTTAGATTCAATTATTCATATAATAAGCAACTAAAATAAATTTGGATTTGAAATGTTTCCAAGACTAAATGACACAATTTGCTTACATTGCTTATGTAACTACTCAATTTATAATCAATGAAATGCAGTGCAACGAATAAAACTTTTGCAACAATAGTTAAATAAAATACTGTAATCCCATATTTTATGCAGATTTCGTAAATATAATAAATTAAAAAGTTGTATCTAACTTAGGTTAAGTAAAGTTTTCTATACAGTTTGTATTATTAATTTTCATTTAATTTCATTTTATTTTCATTTAATATATAAAATATATATGCACTATATATAATTTTTTTAATATTTATATATCTAATATTATTGTTATTGTAAAGTATGAAAAAAATCTAAAGTAAAAAAGAGCAGTCTTGAATTTTCAGTACTTCAATACTGTTTAATGAATTATGAAAGATGAACACTGACTTTTGTCTGAAGGTTGGATGTTGTTACATGGAAAATAGTATTTGATGTTCATCTTCAATAATTGACTTGATTATATATATATAATTATAAACACTATTACGCGTGCACATTAATAATGTACAAAAAACATATATACGTTTAATAATAAATGGAAATTTGAAAACGACTTTAAATATACAATAAACAAGTTGAATCGAAATTGTACTACAAATTATAGTAGAATTAAAAGTATTTTTCTTAAATTTATATAAAGTTAATTTTATATTATGAATAAGAAGAAAATAATTTTTAATTATTCAATTAATAAGCTACAAATACTATTGAAAATTTTGAGTTGATATAGCACTTACTCGTTTATCAAAATTCACTTACTGATAATAAGTGGCAAAGATAAAATATTATAAATAATATATAGCAGATATATTAAAATTAACTAGAATTTAGATAAAATTTTTAAATTATTCTTGAAAAAATGACTGTAAATTGATATAAATAAGGACAGCGAAATTAAATATCAATTATAATAAAGAGTTACATTATCACTACCTTTCATGTAGCATTTTTTAAATGTCCATACAATATTTTAAATGTAAATAATTAACAATAATTATCTTCAAATACCATTATTAATTAATTAATTTATATAAATTGACTAGTTGTGCTATTAAATAATAAAATGTATATTGAAAAAAAAGTTAGCATTACTCCTTCAATCCGTTACGATATCTCACACTTATTAATAAACATAGCTTTCTTATTTTTGCAATTATATTTTAACATTTCAAAGTAATTTAATCATCAAAAAAAAAAAACTTAAAAAATCATCAGGCTGCAATCAATTTATTTACTGTTTACTCAGCTACTATATCATTTAAAGATAGAAAAGACATTCTCAATACTAAAAAATAAAAATTGAATCTATGAGTGTACGTATGCATTTTATTACATACTTAATATGCTCATAATACATTAATTTGGATTGTGTTTTATGTGGTTTAAGTACATATGTATTCTTTACTAACATACCAGTCACAAATGCCTTTGTTTACTTGTCGATGAATAACACATATGATTAGCATTTGATTGACAATGTTATTATCTTATCTTGTAGTTACCAACAAGGGAGGAGAAGAAGAAATGTAGAAGTACAAGAAAAGGCGTCGCATTCCTTTAACACGTCAGTGCATAGTCACCGAAAGAAAAGTCGTCTTTTTTTAAATGATTTTACTTTATGTTCCTCTTCTATAAAGGAAAAATGATAAGCAATTTTGAATCGATTAATGATGTTGTTATGTTTATCATAATTGTTAACTAAAATAATTCAATTTATTATATTACATAAATTATTAAGTTTTTCTGTATTTATATAAGTATGTCAACATTTATATGCTATAATTAATTTAATTAATTTATAAAGAAATTTATAAGCTATTACTGTTAATTTTTTAAATTAAATTATGTCCCATGAAAATAATAAATACTTTTATATTTTAAGAATTTGTTGAGGTTTAACATTAGAAAATATTTGGAATATGTCACAGAAATATATGTATAATGGATTTTAATTAATTAAAAATATTCATTTTATTATTGCATTTAACTGTATAGAACATTGATGTGCGACGAGTATAATTATTACTTATTTTTAGCTGACTTTGCTTTTGAAACTAACGTTATTTAAAATACGAAGAAAAAAGTAAATTGTTTGAATTTTACACACGCTAATCTTTAAAGTAATTTGTAACTGCTATACAAAATTTATATAAATAAGAGCTGACGTATATTTATTTGGGTTACTTTAATTATTCATTGAGAAACTGTATGAAATAAATAAGTTATATTTCAAGGGAAATTAAATATTATTGAGATATTGTGTTAGATTCACGATGCATTTTTGTACCTTTCCGCTTTATTGCGTTTTAACTTAGAACACCTCATTTCTATGACTGTGTGAATCTTACTATCTTAATTACACTTTTTTATATCTATAGAATTCGTGTGCATTAGTGTATATGCCCGCACTAAAAACATTGATCCGATTAACAAGGACTATTAATTATATTGTGTTTACAAGATAGCGTGCTCCTTTTTTCTTGTACAGATCGGAATTTCAACAATGCATAACAAGACGACTGGATCCATGATTTATATACATACACGTGAATGTAAAGAAGCTCAGTGAAAAAAATTCCGAAGGCAAGCAATAGTCCAAAGAAGAGAGTTAGAAAAGCTCCATAGCATTCTGTAAGGCCGACGCTCAGGAAGCGATTGCTCGAGCTGCACACTGGCTTTTTCGTATAAAGCCGCGTTAGCTCGCGAGTACGTAGTCCGCTCTCCTGTAACAGTAGACCACTGCAATGCAATGAAATTAATCAATTTGTTTTTAACATTTACTTTTTTGGTGCTGGAATTTACCACCAAAGGCAAGCCCAATTCCACTAATAAAATTGGACGTACATACGTGCACTGCTCAAGAACTACTAAATAACGCGACTTGTCCCGAAGAATAGTCACGGGTAATTCTTTAATTAAGCATCTCTTTAATTACAAATTATAAATATTTTTATTTACTTTTTGTTATATTTTTCAATATTAAATTATTTTACTCGTACCATTCAAACGTGTAAATGCATGTGCAGAATATTGTAGATATAAATTACTCTTGAAAATATTTTATTTTCTTTTTAAAAGATTTTATCGTAGAAAATAAAAAAAAGGAACTTATTTAAATCTAGACTTATATTAATTTATTTATACGTTCTTGTCATTGATGTTTTGAGAATGCGTAGCTTGCCTGATAATAGGCCAGGGTAACAATTGTTTTCTTACTTTTCTTGTTTTACAGATCTAGTCAGAATGTTTAAGTGCTGATTCATGGTTAATTTTCATTATGTAATAAATCTAGTAGAAATAAATAACATATTCGATGCAATGTGAATCAGCGTATTTTTATTAGTATATTTTGTATTTTTTTTTATAGATAGCATCCTGACCATTTTTTTTATCTCAATTTGTTTTCACTTATTATCATAAGTCAAATCATTAGTTTTAAAATTATATATGGTATGTATATGTATATATAGATTTATTCATCAATTTATATCAAACATTTTAATTATTAAACAAGTTTGATTACTGCAATTTTACATGTTGTAATGGTAGGATAATTTTCATATGATATACTTTTTTTATATTCACTGGTTAATTTATACTAATACGTAATAATAATAATAATAATAATAATAATAATAATAATAATAATAATAATAATAATACAACTTTTCCATGCTTGAAGGCTTTTGTATGAATCTCGATATCAACGAATGTTAATATGAATGAACCAAGCATATAAATAATATCAAAAGATCAAAGTGCAACGTACCCGACCCTTAACAGCTCTAAATATGGTGATCTCCTTCTGACAATGAAATGTGGGTCGAAAACGTTGAAATAGTCAATCTCGTGAAAACCACACTTCTCATCTTCTGCAAAGGTTTCTTGGATAATTTTATAGGCACATCCGAGTTCGACATGAAAAGCGAATTGACCATGTCTGATGCGTTCGATTCCATCTTCAATTGCATACCAATTGGTTTTGTGGGTGCCACGGGGCTCAATTCGCTCTTCAAAAATTGCACGACGCACCGGATCCTTGAACGACTTAAAATAGTAACGATTGTATACATTATCGTGAGCGGCAAGAGTTAGAGGACTTTCTAATAAATCTTTCAAACTCTTTATTGATGTTGTAGTCGATTGAAGAAGGGCCACGATATTAGCTGTGTATGCTGCATACAAGTTCAGAGCGGCCATCAGGCTCATTAGTACGATTATACGAGTACTTACTGATCGAGGCTCATACCAGGAACCTATATCAATAATCTTATGTTAATTTCTTTCATTCATTGGCGAATCTTGTAATGGTATTAAGATTGTGGTAGCTTCGATTATTTGTAACCATAACACGAATGCATTACAATTTAATGAAACTGTATTTACTTTTAATCCGCTTGTTTAAATAACATATATTTTTATATCTGTTAATAAATAATATTGAAGCTTACTTGTACATTGAAAATATAAAATCAAGTTAGATATTTCGTAAGTATTTATTTTACACCTAATTTAAAGTTTACTGTTAATAGAATCAATAGATATATTTTAATAAGAATTTCATTTTTATAGTTAAAAATTTATAATTTATTGTGATGAAATTGTATTTTAACTTATACTAAGCTTCATATATTAATGATAAACTTTATATTTTTTATTTATATTTTTCAATTATATATTTTTTCACGCTTATATGTACGTAAGCAGCTTCTTTTTTAATATTTACTATACTGATAGAATAATGTTAAGAAAAATTGACAAAAAAGAAATATAGCATTCAATACATACATATGAATTAATACAAATATTTTGTAATTATATATAATAACTGTCTATCTCTCTAAATATTTTTCAATTTTAAGATAATAAAATTATATTACAAATCGATAAGTTTTTATGCAAACTAATAGCATCACATCTAAATATTATAATTTTGATTTATATAACGAGTTCGATATTGTACATATATCTATATTTATGAAGCATCACAGACACTTTATTTTAATTACTTGTTAAGACGAACGATGAATTTTAGAACAATAGTTAATATGGTAATCAAAAGTTAATATGGTCCATCAAAAATATGTCGCGTTAATCTACAGTTTTTTTCCACGTATTTTCTTTTAAATCAATAGTAGATAAGATACGAAAAATTAACAAGCATTTTGCAATCAACATAAAAATATTAAGCATATTTATGAATGAAAGTTATATTTATAAAAAAAAAATAATAATAATAACATTTTCTTGATAATTGCGATAGACAACGTTTATACCCGTAATTTTATAACTGTAATAATATATACAATATTAAAAGTTAAATTTAGAAATTCTTTTCAAGATATTGTTTTAATTATTAAATTAATATAAATTTGTTGAAATAACAATTTATTAGTAATTATAATATTTGATATCGAAATAATATATATTATCATTTTAAGAAAAATTTTTACTATTCATAATCCCATTAAAAACTTATGAATATTAAAACAATTATGAATTAATGTAAAACGAAACTTCGTTTTCAATATTAAAGTAATAATTATTATATTCGAGAGAAAATTAAAATAAATTACTTTTAAGAAAATGAACTGAATTATAATTGAATCTATAAATGATTAAAGTCTGTAAATCATTGGTTGTGTTTCGGTATAAATCTTATATATTAACACTTTGAATATATCATTAATTAAATTGCAAAAAATTCTATACTAACTAAATATTTCTAATGTTGAATTAAAAATTTTGTACTAGTAGTGTATTAAAACTTAAAATTATAAAAGTACATAATTATAATTTTATATTAAATATTTATTATTATTAAGTATGTTTATATTTACTTTTTATAATAATGTAATTATGATAAGGAAAAAAATATAATGGAAGCTTAACGAATTATTATATTCATTTTAAGAAAAATTGTTATATTAATAAATAGAATTTAGTATTATTTACTATACTTGAAAATAATTATTCCATTTGTATAAAGAGGATAAATTTTTGAAAAATAAAATAAAAAATATTAATACAATTTTATAAAATATTATATTATGATATATGATAATGTATTATCAATTTAAAAAAGAAGTAATAATACGCAATTTTATAGTTTCGTATATTATAAGTTATAAGTTATTAAAATTATTATAGTTTAAAAAATGATTATTTATGAATAAAAATGTTTGTAATTTAAAGTTTAAACAATTCCTTCAAAAATGTTTTTATTGTTATGCAACGGCAATATTTTTGTTTCTGATTATTATATAGGAGATAAAATTTTTTAATATTGCAAATAATATTTTTTTTATTATAAGATCAATAAAAAAAAACAGATTTAACAGTTACAAATTTTTGATGGAATAAATTAATAGAACAATTATTTATAAAGTATTATTTTGAAAAGCACTTTTAATACGTTGGCGATAATATCGAACAAAAAAATTTGAAGTATACGAACTAATGAGCTAATAATTATTAAATGTGATGCAATTAATACAGTTCATAAGAATTATTATCAATTATCTAATAATCACCGTTAATAATAAAAAGAATATAATAAAAAAAATTTTTTTTTACGTATGTATATGCGAACTCTTTAAATACTATTCTTATCAACCTAACAGAGTGAATTATTTTTGTTTATTAATCTTCAGTATTAATATAGATAACATATAATTTATTACCGAAACAGATTGTTTGTTATTACATATTTTATATTTTTAAAAAAGAAAATAATTCGTTTCATATTTTATTAAAGCCATTAGTAAAGCCAAGATTTTATCCTTGATAATAATATATACAAAATAAATTAAGTTCTATATTTATTATTCTTTACTAGTTGCTAACTTATTCATAATATTTCAAATATCCCTATCAATATTATCCTAGCAATCATAATAAGAAGTAAGTTTTAATAAGTTTCGATAAACTCTAAGGAGATTTATATTTTATAATTGTCTTTAAACGATAATTATCATTTAAAATTCATATACCTTGCTGAGACACGGCGCCTACGATGACAAGCAAATCGTCACTAAGGTTAGGTGGGTATGGTTCGCGTTCATGTTGTTTATTGATCGACTGAAACCACTCTAATCGCATCGCAGGATACTGAAGTATAACCAGTAAAATTATAAGAGCACATATGCTGAACCACACTGAATTACGAAAGGGTAGCTTAAAAAGATTTGAGATTGACGAAAGTGGTGGACGTCGAAATATGAAACGTATTCTGAATTTTAAAATGCAAATATAAAAAGCATATTATTTTCAAACAAATATTAAATAATATAAGATAAATGATAATATAAATGTTGAAATACACTTATTAGTAGTTACTCAAATTTTTTTTATTAACACAATCTTTACAAGATTTAATAATGATAAGTGCCTTCTAATAATAACGTAATTAAAATTTATATTTACAAATAATACAATACGAACTTTAATTTTATAAACTAAGATGATCAAATTTCTTATTAACGAGGACAATAATATATTCAAACAAGTGTAATTTAAAATATAATAAAATTATGAATTGCTTATTTATCTTTATACGGAAGGCGTAAATTATCAGTTTGTACATTGAAGTTTTATCTGCTGACGTTTTGTATAATAGTTATTTGCTATATCAGAAAAAAATCTATTGAATCATCATTGTAATTATAATTGTATGCATATATATATATATATATATATATATATATATTTTCTGTTAATAATTAAAAATGTTATGTATATATATATATATATATTCTGTTAATAATTAAAAATGTTATGTTTTTAAGAAATCTCATTGGATTTCATAGAAATGTAAGAAAAAAGTTAAATATCAGAAACTAAGGTAAAAAATTTATTATATATTGTAGAACTATTAATAAATTTGTGAAAAAATTTGAATTTGTGCAATTTTGAAAATATTAACTAACAAAACAAAATTTAATTATTTCAATAAACAGAATTTTATATAAATCCATTCCTCATAAAATGTGATAAAAAGTAATATTACACTAATTAAACTGTTTTAAAATAAAAAGGTTAGATAATAAATAAAAATCATCTTTATTTTATTTTATAAAGAATTATTGATTTAAATTTTATTAAAAAAAATTAAAATATGAACGTTTTATTATTTTAGATTTTTTAAATATTTGAATAAATTTTTAGAAAAACCCAATCTCAAATATATATATATATATATATATATATATATATATATATGTATATGCATATTTATATGTCATAACATTTTTTACTCATTGCATTTTAACGTTGAATTAATAGTAATACTTATTTCACTCGACCACTGAATTCCTTAAATTATTCGTAATTATATGAAATAAGTAGTTTAACTGAGTGAAAAATTTGAATTATGATAAGAACTTTTCTTGTGCTTAATGCACAAATTTTCATTAACATAGTTCATAGCTTGTATGCTAATTTGCAACGAAATTTTAACCAATTATAACGTAATATTTAATATTTTTTCATTAAAAGTCAAATAAATGTCTGTATTAATTTTAATTTATTTAATTTAGGAAATAAATTTAAAAATTTTTTTTGAATATGAAGAAAAGCATGTTTTTATTTTGATGCCAAATTAGGTTTTTTTATTATACAATAGAATTATAATATTCTATTGTAAAATAAAAACTTTTATTATTAATCGTTTATTATTAAATATTACTTTATGTAATAATTTAATTGTTTAAAAGTGATTGAATATTTGACAATAGAATCTTGAATAATTAGAGCATTATAATGATAAACATTTACAAAGATGAAAATAATCTAAATCTGAAATTATAATATTTAAAATGTTAGTTTTGTAATTTACAAACAGCTCAAATATTGCTGTATTCGCCAAATAATCAATATTATAAATATTTTTAAAAGAAAAATTATTATAAATATTTAAAATTATTTTAATAATAATAAATTATCTTAATAAAAACTTCATTCTTACCCAGTTGGTGTTGATAGTGCAATATACTGTATAACGCCTATACGCTCTTTTACCAGAAAACTTCCTGTCCCACCGAAGTCGATCTCGTCACGCTGTAGCATACCGATCATACCGCCCCAGGAGCCGTTTGAATTTTGATATCCCCAAGTATTAGTTTGCTTGAAAGTTACTCTATGTTTTCAATTTTTCAATTAATTAACAATAAAATTGAATATTTTTTATATAAATTAAAACTTATCAATAAATCTTTTCTTGCGAGTTAAAAATGACGGCTATAATAAAATACATTATATGGTTTACATATTAAGAAAAGGGTATTTTTAATATTAATGCTTTAATTCATCATAGATATAAATGTATAAGCCCATCGAGTAGAGAGAAAATATATTGCGTTATAAACTTTATTTTGCTCATCTTATTGAACGTAAACGCCTTTGGATATTTGAGTAACCAGTATTACAAAATCTTAATAAAGTAACAATTTTTCTTCAAAATTTTTAATATATATAAGTTTATAAACACTGCATTAATAAATAATACATAGAACCAGTAAATTTTTATTTTATACAAATGAAATTTTAATTTAATTTGAACCATTTGTTGGAAGTTATCAAAAATCAATATGGACTTAGCTTTAAAAATTTGTCATATAATCGAACGTTCTGGAATTTTGAATCGTGCTTTATTTTGGATTTAAGTAAATTTCGTTTAGTTAAAATTAACTTTGATCCTTCTTAATACTCACTTAACATAAAATTACAATCGCAATTGGGTTTATTTAATCAATATTCTGTTACAGATAATATTAACAATTTTCATAACATTCAATAATTTTTGCATAAAATTTTTCACCTAAATTTATTTATAGAAATCGCTTTTGCTTCATAAATAATTAGAAAGAGGAGAGAGAGAGAGAGAGAGAGAGAGAGAGAGAGAGAGAGAGAGAGAGAGATAGAGATAATTTCGACATTACAACTAATAATTGAAAGTAATTATTTCTTCAAATCATTAGTCCTAATAAAAAAATAGGATTACATAATTTTTTTAACATTATTTAGTAAGTGTTTGAACTAATTTAGGATTTCCATAAAAAAATTTCAGAATATATTACGATATAGTGAATATAATTAATAGAATGATAATTTCCTAAACAATAAACTGTATATAAAAAGCACTATTGATTCAAAATCTTATATTTATCTTCAAATATAAATTAAAGTAGAAGGTAAATACAATTACTTTTTCTGCCTTATAAATATGAACTGTTTAAAAAGAAAGTAAAAATTATTTTTTTACAATAATTCTAATGTTAGTACAATTGAAAATCGTGAAATTATTTCACGAGATTACAAAATAAATATGCTAAAAACTCACTAACGTAGCGTTTAGTATATTCACTAGATGTAGTACCCAAGGATAGTTACATTTTGTTATGGAATCAATATGTCGATCCTGGTAATCAGTTAAATGATTGATTGTATCAGGATTAGTTATCTGTAAAATATTTAGAGCAAATTCAAAGAATTAGAATAGCAAATAATTGATGATTCAGTTAATAAAACAAAATCTTTTTATAGAAATTGATTTTAATTTTTTAAATAAAGTTAATTAATAAGCTATATAAAAATTATATTTAGTTACTTATAAAATATAAAAATTCGATTTACTACTCATTCTAAAAAGATACATTTCTTAATATAATCATTAATTTATTTTTTATCTAATATTATTAATAAAATAATCTTAAGAAATATATAAAATTATATTAATAAGTATATTTTTTTAATTATACTTTAATTATAATTATAATTTAATATATAAATTTTTATATTAAAATAAATAAAAAATATTTCGATATGTTTAATATTACCGTTTACTGTTCGGTTAAATTGTAAATTGTAAGAGTATATACTTTTGTAGAAGATAATGAGTTGTAGCTAAATAAATTTAAGATTTCAGATAGAAAAAATAAATATTTCTTTTCCATTTTAATAATATGTTAGTTAATTAATAATAGCTGCAGATAATTTAAATATTTATTTGAATAATTCAAATAGATATTTATTAAATGTCTAAAAATATTATTTTACATAAAAATCAATAAATTAAAAATTTTTATTGTTGAATAATAATATTAAAAATTTTAAAGCTAAAAATGTTATAATATTAAGAAAAATTTATATCAATTATATTAATTTTTAACACAAAATTTCAACTAACACAAGGATATGTCTAAATAAGATATTACCATTTCTAAATTTACTTCCGTATTTTTTGGGTGTTATTAATAAGTAGGAATTGCAAATTATACACAATTTTAATAAACAATGAAGTATATAAACTCGTAATTTATTTTACTACTTTATTTTACTACAACTCTAAATTTATTTTCGTATATAATGTATTCTTTTATTTCTTTCAAAGTACATTTTTCTTTTACAATATTATATTTCTAATATGAATTTTTCATATTTAAAATATTATTATCAAGATTATAATAGTTCTTATAATAACTATAGTACTATAATAACTATAATATAATATAATACATCTTCCATTATTTTTAATATTTTTAAAATATATTTTTCAAATTCTTGTTTTAATAATACATTGATAAATTATGGAATAATATTATAATATTAATATATATGTTTCATTTACTATAATAAATTAAATTGTTAATTATTTGTAAAACTGAAAAATTTTGTGAAAAATATTGTACACACGTGAAAATTAAGTAAATATTTTTCAATTTTTACTTTAAGTAATATTAGATATATTGTTTTATAAAGAACTGGTTAAATTTTGTAGTGAAATAAAAATTTAGTGGTTTTAAAATCCTTTCAATACTTCATTAAATTAATGCCTTATGATATTTAGACAGGGTCTATTTAAAAATAAATACAAACTGTATGTATTTAAATGGTTAAAAAAAAATTTTTTTCTAACTTTTTTCTTACTCGTTTTAATTTTGAATTTTTTTACAAACTGAGAAGAGTCGATGTATGTAATAAAAATCAATTACGATAAAAAAAATGTCAACATATGTTTGTATAATACATCTTTATGCTCAGTTTTATTTTATTTTGAACACAATTTCATTTTGACCTTATTTATTTTTATTTATCTATTAACTATACATTGATATAATTTCTATATTTCTCACCACGATGCAGGATTTCAGCTGAGCACCGGCTAAATTCTTTCGTCTCCTTGATGCAATATTTTTATCTTTGACTACCAATCGTTTAGTTTCCCAAATCCAATAACCACGATCCTCAATTATGTAACGACCACTTGAGCCTGTCCAATAAATCGATAGTACTTGACCCGTTGACTGTCTCCAAATTATCACCTCACTATCTGGATAAATATCCTTTCCAGAAAATAAAGACTCAAAATCATTCGTATCATTTAAATGCTGTACCATAAGCCATTTAAATGGGGCAGCAAACAGCATCTCCCGATTCAGCCTGTATAAAAATTCCTTAGAGTCTGGACAGTCCAAATTCAAGATTAATAGAAGTTGGTGAGCGTCACCTGGTATGTCCTGACCTTCATAACCGAATTCCCTAAGAAATCAAACGTTCATCAAAGTGATACTTGAAAAAGAAGAATTTTATACTAATAAAAAAATATTATAATTGTACAGGCTCTCTTATTATTTAATTAATCGAAATATAAAATAAATATTTTATTATAATAAAAAAGTTTTGAAGATTATTGAAATTAAATACAAATTGTAAGAATTTGTGTAATATTACGTGTTGTTATAGCATTTTTCATTTTTTATTTTTTTATAATTATTGAATATTAATCATTAGTGACCAATAGTTTCTCCAAGTTTGATTTTATAAATGATAACAAATGAAATCGTGTCGGATTAAAATAATTTTATTCACAAAAATATATATATATGCTAATCATATTTATTTCTAAATAATATGTATATTAATTTTCTTATTACACTGATTACTTAAGATATTTAAAAATAAATTTGTTGATGCTTTATTAAATTGCCTATTAGATTTCTACATGCCTTTGGATTTCCTGATCAACAATTTTTTTTAAATTTTTTAATAATCTTATATCGAAGTTTTTTTTAATATAAAATTATCATTTTTACTCATATTAGAATTGATATCTGTCTTAATATTCTTCAGATAAAAGAATATTTTTTATTTAAAAAATTATAATTTATAAAGTAATTTTAGATAATGTTTAATTTCAAACTTTAAGTGTGTAGTTGAAGTTGAATAATAGTTTTTATAACGTTTACAATTAATACTTTTAATAATTTATATATACTTCTTGATTAACCAATTAAGCCATTTTATATCTAAATATTATAAATAAAGTATGCCAAATAAATATGGTCGATTACTGCAGATATCTTAATTACTTTTTACAAATTGTATGACTTGTAATTTATTACAAATTCCAAACAAAAGATTTGTTCATTAATTCTTTTTAATTTCATATTAAACATAGTTAATATGATTAATTGAATTATTTTTATTACAAATTTAACCTTTCTTTCAAATATAAATATGAATTAATTTAGTAATTGTTTTATTCATTGAAATAAATTTTATCATTGAAATTTATTATAAATAAATAATTATTATAAATAATAGTAAAATTCAAATTATATATAATAATGATATATAATAATATAATCCTATTACATAAAACATTAAATAAAAGCTTATCTTAAGAAACTTGCCACAGTAATATTTAATATTTATTTAAGTTTACTGATCATTACTTTCATTAATATTTGTCTACATAATTTAATATTTTTCCTAATTATTACGCATAACAGGAAGGCATAAAAAACTAAATTCTCCATTAAATAATAAACATCATGACTTAATGCTTATTAAATTAATTAGTAACTATTTAATAATAATAAAAACTAAACTTTTCGTCTTGTGAGTTATGGTATATGTCTTGATTTACTATAAGACTAAATATAAATTTTAATTATTTTATAAGGTAAAAGTTTAATTTCAAAATTTATCAGTGCTAATTTATATGATTTTTCGATTTAATTATGAAAAATATGGAAAATTAGTGTATTTCAATAACGGATTGTATGCATCTAACCAAGCAATTTCTCGAACTCGATTCCAATTTTGCCTAATGTTTAGTACATTACTTGGCAGGAAAGTTTTTGACAGAGTGCGCAAGAGCTGGAATCTATCATCATCTGTACTACAATCGAAGGCTGTGACACTTGTGAGCACGGTTGAAAAAAGGGATGTGCTATCGTCCTGTAAATTCATCAGCATCTCTACCAGACTCTCTTTCTCGATTTTACATAATCCTCTGGTAGGTAGAATTATCAGAAGATAAAATAAAAGTAATGACAGGAATTTAACTCTCATTGTTATGTCTGAGAAAATAACAAAACATAAATTTGACAGTTTGAAATTTGTTGAATCATTATTAACTGAATGAGTATATTTATATTATTTAAGAGGTATCTTCGATTATATTCAATGGAAAAGAATTTCCTTTATTTTTTAATATTTTTTCTTTAGAATATTACGATTTTAAATATAAAAAATGTCTGAATTTAATAACTCATACGATTAATGCAACAAAGTAAACTAAACATTATGCATTCGTTAACTAAAAATATTTTTATTAAAAAAATTATGACTTCTATTATTTTATTAAAATCACCATAATTTAAGATATTTAAAAATTATTTCATGCAAATTTGAATTCGTAATTAAATTCTGTTTCAACAATAGCAAATGTTATTGTTTAATAATTATGACTTACATCTGTGTCGTTTTATTATATTTTAATAATTGAACAATTTTAACAGTCTTAACATATTTAATGGTTATAATAAATAAAATTTTAGATAACAAAATGAAAAATAAAATTTGAGTTGAAAATATATAAAGGGTAGATGATTAAAAATATAAAAAAAATTATTAATTGGTACAAATAAAAAATGTATATACCTAAAAAAATGTGTTGAGATATTATTGGTTGATATATTAAATTTAATACAAAATGCAAAAACGAAAACAAAGAGAAAATCAATCTTGTCGCTCTAATATAGTTTTTCTTATATCAGAAATTTTTGCGAAGTCAAGAAAAGAATAAGATTCCATAAGCTTTAGCTTCGAGACAGTAAAACTATTAATTTCTAAATGATTAATTCAATGTATGCCCAAACATGTCCATTATTAAATGTCGGTAGCGGAGAAACGAGAATGTGCACATGGTGAAAGTTGGCAATCGATCGCTCTGCTCGCACGATTTCATCGAAACTTGCAAAATTAGCGCAGTACCGAACGCTACAATTACGTACATTGTTATTTTCTCTACAGTGCTGGTTGTAAATAAGATTAGATACTGCAAATGTACGTAATGAGTAAATAAAAATGCTATTGTAATCTTTGAATTCCCCTCTTCTTTGTTTTAAACGTAGTACGCGACATACATCCAACAACATACATCCATATTTACTGTGCTTTCCTGTGCTTTCCTGTATCTTCCTCCCTCACTTTTTGTCTATCTGGCTGCCTCTCTGTATTTTTGTCTATATTTGTTTCCCTCTGTTTATCTGTCTGTCTGTCTGTCTGTCTGTCCGTCTCTCTCTCTCTCTCTCTCTCTCTTTCTAGCTTCTCTCTCTTCTCTCGATTGAGCTATCTAGCTATCTTTATAAAGAAATAAAATTAAATAAAATATTATTTTGAATCTAGCAATAATAATATTTACAATAATAAATATATGTTTCTAATATGCTTAATTATATATTAAATGTCAAAAAATGAAGAAAGTATAATTGAGTTCATAATAAAAGGTGTCTAATTTTAAATACTTGTTATTTATTTTTAAAAATGTTATCACTTTTAAACATCGTAGATATCGTAACTAAAAATTGTAAACAAATGAAAATACGATTTTAATGATATTTGATATTTTGTTATTTATTCAAGCAATAAGACCGCATTAACAATTTTATAGGCAGTTAAAGTTATATTAGCAAATCAAGGAATGAAACATTAAATACATAAGAAAATACAAAATCCTACAATTTTTATTATAATTATAATTTTATTTAATACAACTATAATTAAATTAAGATGAGTTAAAGTCCTTACCAGAAATCAAAATAATATAGAAGCAAATAAACCCCAATTAGTAAAGAAATTCATGATCTCAATAGCCAATTAAGTACCTACATTAAAAAAGTAACGAAACGTTATGTCGGAGCCAAGATGTGTACAATTAAATAAACAATGTTCTTCTCAGAATTATCTTATCTAAATGGTTTACTACTTCCGGATATTATTTTATACGTGCCATGGAAATAGTTGCCTAGAGTCTAGCATTCCGAGAAAAACACCAAACAGCAGATGAACTACCTTTATTACACAAAATTCCACACATGAATATTATCTCTGCAATGCTATTAATATACAATAGTATATGTAAGAACGAGACAGGCTAATAAAAAAGCAAACCTCTATTTCATAAAAGATATATCATTTCATTTAACTTATTAGCTTCAGTATTAATTTGTACAACCATTTGTAAGTAATGATTGTAATAGTTGTTTGTACGTTTTATTAAAATAATAATGAATGTCTGAACACAAAAGCTTATTTGATTAATAATTTTAAATAAAAACTTTAATTAATACAAAATATTAGATTATAAAAATTACAAAAGTTGATTATTCTATTTCGTAGCATCGCTATATAACTAAATTATTATTATTGAATATTAATGAACACGTCCTTCATCACATTTTCAAAACTATTACTTTAAAATGCCGCAAAACATTTAAAAAATAAATAAAATAAAATAAAAATAAAAAAGGACAGAATCTGTTAATGTGGAATGGCAGGTATATACTGATTATATAAATGATTAAAAAAATACAAAATTCACAATTTGCAGATAATCTAATCGGATTTTTCAATTAATTTTTTAATGTCGGAAAATTTTGCTTAAATAAATTCTATTGAATTATATTCAAATTTTTAAAAGCGTAGTAAAATAATATATTCAATAAAAGAACATACAAATCTTTCTAATAATTAAATTTTTTTTACGAATAATTATTCAAAAATGTATAAAAAATGTACGATTATTAAAAAAAAAATTTTTTTCATTATTTTACACACATATTTCAACATAAATTGATATACAATTAATAAAATTCTAATTTATTATTTGAAATTAAAAATTAATCTTTAAAGAAACCTTTCAAATCCTAATAGAAATTTTTCATTATAGAATCATTATAGCATTCTACTATACAATATATTTTTAAACATTAATATATTTTTAAAGTATTTGTATAGTAATATATTTTTGAAGATTTTTTTAACGAATATGATAACTATATATATATAAGTTTAAGCTTTTCTTATTGTGTTACTACAATTATTATAAAAATTAGACTCATTTTTATGTTATTGATTGGATTAAACTCTTAATATATTTCTTGTACGCTTGAAATAAAATTATCTTAAATAAAAATTGTAGCTTCGGTAAACAATATATAAATTATATTAATGTAGCAGCATAAAAAATAAAAATTTGTATTAGAAATTGAAAAATCATCATAAATGTTTATTGCTTACATAAAATTTTTTACTAAAACTTTATTATTATTTTTATATACATATAGTAGCATAATACTTTTATAAATATAAATACATAGTGATTGCATATTTACGTAACTAAATTATTTCTTTCAACTATTACTAACTACAGTAAATACTGTAAAATAAACTTTTGAGTAAATAATGTATTTATTAAATAAATAATTATTATCTACTACACAATAAACCTCTATATAAAAAATTTATATAAAGAAATATAATTTTATATATACATATATTTTATTACATATACATATGTAATAAAAAATATTACAATAATTATAATAATTATATTATAATTATTATATTAACAACTTTCAAAAAATATAAGAATATAATTCAAATCATATAGTGAAAACTTTATTGTACATGCATGAACATATTTTATAATATTTAATTATTTACTTTAGCATTTTTTATAAAATATTATTATTATTAATATTAAAATTATTAGTATTAATAATATTAAATACAATTTAAATTAATTTTCTAAATAATATGACATGGTAAAAAATATTACTTTAATTTAAAATGTAATCAATAGCTATGAAAATGAATAAATATTAAACAATATAAAAATTAAATTAATTATATTAAACAATACATAAAGTGTAAATAATACAATAAATATAAATACATAAAGTAATAAATTAAACAATACGTAAAGTGATATATAATTTATTATTACAATTATTTAAATTCATTTATGATTTATATTTATAATTACTAAAACTAAAAAAATAAATATGATAATAATTTGATTCAACTAAATTAATGTTAATATTAATATAACATTATTTTTTAGGAAATCTATTTATTTTTACCTAAAGCTTTATTTACGTATCATTTATTTAGATAAAATAAAACACATTTTCACTGATTTTGAATGATAATATGAAACGAAGAATAAGATAACGTTTTAAAAACCTTTTTGAAATAATTAAGTCAAATAATGAAACTATAATAAAATAAAAATTTTAAAAGTTAAATTTTTTACTAATATATTTAACATTAGTCTTATGTAATTCGATTTAACTATGGAGCAATAATATGGAACACAACTAACAAAAAGTTTAATCAAGTTAATAATTAATAAGTATATTATTATGTTATTTTCAAAACATTTCAAGTACTTTATATCTACATGGTACCGTCGAGAATCGAATATTACATAATTTTTGTATTTGCAAGCTATCAAAAACTCATAAATATGAAAAAATGATCATTTTACTATGGTTTCTTAATGAAAAATATTATTTATTTTCATAAAATATATATTTTCCTATCAATTTCAGTTAATATAAAATTAATTATCGTTTATCAATTATAACAACTCATGACTGTAGAATATAACTGGAAATTGTAGTAAAATTAAACTATGATTTGTAAAAATGAATAGAATGCTGTTTTTTTACTGTCATTATGCAAACATTTACAATACAGTATAAGCAACTTTAAACATTTAACATTGAATAATAACAAATTTTTAAACAAATGCACAAGAATATTATGTGAATAAATTTTTGTTGCAAATCTTGACAAATAATCTAATGCAAATAATCTTATGAAAATCAGGAATTACATTTCTCTATTGTTATTGTTCATCGATCACAAATAGTTCATTGAATAATTACAGCAATTTGTGCAAAATT